ATAAAAAGCAAGCTGACAAATTGACTTAACACTAGAAATATTGATTGTAGACTTAAATTAAAAATAAAGATAAAACATGATTTGATATGTACAGTAATAGATTTTTGAAAAATGAAAGGAAAAATGTGTGGAAAACTTTAAATTGCAACTATGAATAATTAAATCAGTTTCCTCCTTCCTTAACCATTTTAGCATAGTTAAATCATTTTCCTTTTTGATTTATCAGAAGTGAAAGTATTAGAGTCTGATAAAAGTTTTTTGTAATTATTTTATATTTCTAACAATAATCAACTGCGACATTGAATTCGCGTAAAAGCAATATTATTCAAATAATATTGTTTTTAATTAATATTCCTTAAGATTGTTATAATTTCAAACATGTCTATTTTTGATGCTTTTTTAATAGCTAAAGCCAAGATGTTTACGCACATTAAATAATGTTTCTATTTTGAATCTTATAAAAATAAATCGAATAAAAAATACAGAAAACTTTATTTTATAAAGTGTGCTAATTCGGGAAAGGAAGCTCATTACCGGCACAAAATGAAACAGGAGAATAATTATAGTTCTTCAGAAACAAAGATGTCTGCAAAGAAGTTATAAAGTGAATGGTTTTAACTTAAAATAAAAAATGCATTATTAAAGCAAACGTCTCAGGAACGTTAGCTTGTAATCTTTTCTTCCTCAGAATATGAGAGTTCTCGAGAATCATATATACATTCTCCTGGTACTTCGACTACAAGCGAATATACCGGTTGTGTTTTAAGAAAGAGCCATTCCTTCCTATAAACTTTCCCCTTTGGCGATCATCATTTGGCATATACTGGGGCGAAAAAGAGTGCCAATCTAGTAGGTAATAAAACCTAGACTTGGTTGAGAGTATGGTGTTTGATCATCCCCACGCTCATAAAAAGGGGGAAGCAGAGACATTCGGTGAAACAACCCTGACACGTAAAATTCTACTGATCTACCTATATTTCCAATTTTCAAATTCAAAGTGCAAGATTGGTTAAGTTGCAAATTACCTTTTGTTTATTTTACATTAACAAAGTTTTATCTTTCTTTTTGGACAGTTAGTTTTTCAAAAAGTTTAGTTTGGATAAAATTTAAAGTACTGCTTGCGTCAATATTTCACAAGATAAATTTATTTGTCACAATCGGGTATTTGTCAATTTTATTGGTTTCATTTTTATTTTGTATGCATCCGGATACTAATAGTTTTCAATATTGTGGTTGGTCACTTTCGTTTTTAGGGTGGGTTTGATTCTCAGCCGTAAAAATATTAGGTTTGTTTATACAATCGTGGCCCCAATGATAAGCATTATTTATTCCAAGCTTATCACAGTATTTACATGGCTTAGGAAGCAATTCCTGGGAAGCCTGGGCGAAATGACTTGTTTGTTGCTTATTTTTATGAAATCTGTCACTTTCTTTTGGAACTCTAGGTCTAAATTGGGATTGTTGGTTAAAAAACTCTTACTTAGCCTGGAAAAATTTTGATTTTGTCGAGGATTATAATGATTTGAACTAACTGAGTTATTAATGAATGGCCGCCTTGGTGTCCAGCCTTGATATTGTTGTCTATACCCAATAAATTTGGATTCTGACAATTTTTGTCTAGTTTCAATTTGGGGTAAGACCGCATCGTGAATTATTTTCGAAACAATTGTGAGTCATTCAATGGGGGTTTTGGGTTCTTTTAAAACCAAAAGTGTTTTGATTTGTGTGGGCAAACATATGGATAGATCCTCAATTATATGATCATTACTTAAATTTTTTTCCGACCTAACTCTACCTTTTCAGTAAAATCTGAATTTAGGTCTTTAGCTTGGCCAGAAAATTTTAAAATTTTAAAATCATTAAAGGCAAAAGGGGGTGAAAAATAATGCTCATGAAAAATTTCAACTATTTCCTGATAAGAATTACAATTTAAGCAGTTATTAATATATAATTTCAAAGTTGAACCTTTAATGAATTTTTGAAGATTTTTAAATTTCCATTCGTCATTTAATTTAGCACCTATAGTTTGTTTTTCGAAAAGTTTGAGCCAGGCTGTGAATTGAACACCAATCTCGGGCTTGTCGCATGCTTTTAAAAATATTTCAGTTTGACTTATAATTAATTATACATGACGTTTAAACTGATAAGCTGTGTAAGATTTCTCTAATCTGAGCGTAGCCATAAGAGTGACTCACTCATAAGAGTAGCAAGATTTTATAAATCTACTGCATCCTTTTAAAAATATTTCGGTTTTAATTGTACATAAAGGTTAAACTGATAAGCTGTGTAAGATTTCTGTAATCTCTGAGCGTAGAAATAAGAGTAACTCACTCATAAGAGTAGCATGATTTTATAAATCTACCGCATCCTTGTCGCATGCTTTTAAAAATATTTCGGTTTTAATTGTACATAAAGGTTAAACTGATAAGCTGTGTAAGATTTCTGTAATCTGAGAGTAGCCATAAGAGTAGCTCACTGGGCTCTTGGCTTAAAACCTTGCTATAAAAATGATTAAACTTAGAAAATACAAGTGAACAGGAATTAATTTGCAGTATGTAAAAATAAGTGGGTTTTCAATGTGAAAATTTAGGCTGTGCAGAATAGAAAAAAATGAGTCACTTGCAATATTCAAATTTATAGTATGCTGTACGCAAATAATTTATAGCAAATTTTCAATGTCTAGGGAATTTGGACTACTATTTTAATAAAAAAACATATTTTAATTAAAAAATAATGTTGTAATATGCATGCATCAAAAGACTACTGTTCATATATATTTTTTTTGGAAACAAACATGCAATAGGTAGCAGATGCAGTATTTCCGTGTATTATTACAGTCATTTTTTCTCCTGATAAAAATAAACCGTATGACAACGCCCCTCTTTTGTACTCAAATCTGGGTAAACAGGAAGTGCAAGAAATTATGTAAATGCGTCACCCCATCACGTGAATTGTCTTAATTTTCATCAGCTGTTGAACACAAAAATGAGTAAGAGACAGAAGGAAATTTTAGTTTTTTTACGCAATAAATCTCGTCTACCTAAAATCAAATCAAACAGCGGAAAAAAAGCATCTCATTAACTATTGCATAACATTTAATATCAGATTCCATTCTGTAAAACCCGAATTTATTGAAACTAAAATTATTATTCGAAGGTCATAAAATGTTTTTTTTTAAACAATTAATTCATATACGAAGTTTAATTTGAAGTTGATTGAATACTTAATACTTTTAATCATCATCATCATCCTTGATGGCAGGACAGCCCGGGGTGGGACTTCTTTAGAAAATTCTGTCCAGGCTCTTTTGTTCATTCTATGCAATCTTGTTACTGAAATATATTTTATTTTATAACTGTCGTTGAACAGCAGACCAAATTTTGGGTTTACGACTACTAATGTTCAACTCCGTAGCCATGTAATTTTGAACCCAACCCGGAAGACAAGGAAACCCCTACATCAGTACCTCAAGAGGTATGATTTGTTATGTGAACATGGAGGATTTTGTGACTCGACAGATTTAACGTGCATCAGTCACCATTTACTACACGGGGAGTCTTCGGCTGACGGGGATCAAACCCACCTCTCTTGGACATGGGCCCATTGCCCTACCAACCAGGCTATATTTTATTTTATAACCGTCGTTGGGCAGATGACCCAATTTCATGGGTTTACTACTACCAATGTTCAATTCCGTAGTCTTGTAATTTTGAACCCAATCGAGAAGACAAGAGAACTCCTGGATCGAGTATTGGGAGAAATTTGCCATAGTGAGAACTTTTCTTGAGCTAACCCACATTTGCGTTACATGGAGAGGAAGACCACGAGAACCTCCCACGTTTAGCCTGACTGGTAGGGGACTCTAACCCATGATCCGTCTACCACTGAGGATATTTCACGTCAGCACTGTGGTCTGTGCAAGCCGGATGCGGAATTCGCATCGACTGGGATTCGAACCCGGCTCGCCTCATTGGAAGGCGAACGCTCTATCCCCTGAGCCATTGCGGCTCTACTGAAATAAGTAATACTAATACTATATATATCAATACTAAGAAAAGTTCAAACCGTGGTGGCTCAGGGGATAGAGCGCTCGTTCGCTTTCCAATGAGGTGAGCCGGGTTCGAATCCCAGTATCGACTGGTCGATAAAAATTCCTCACCCGGCTCGCAATGACTACATTACTGCCGTAAAATATTCTCAGTGGTAAACGGATTATGGGTTAGAGTCCCTTTGCTGTCAGGCTAACAGTGGGAGGTTTCCGTGTATTATCTTTCCATGTAATCCAAATGTGGGTTGGATCCATTCAAAAGTCCTCGTAGGTAAATTTCCTTCAATGCTTAATCCAGGAGTTCCCTAGTCCTCTGGATTGGGTTCAAAATTACAAGTCTGCAGAGTTCAATGTAATCTCAAAATGTGGGTCGGTTCTTCAACATACAAAAATGTAAGGAAACACCGCTTTGTGCTGTCCGTTATGTGGCTACACTTGTTCATCTTAGTAACTTTTAATAAACATCCTGCTTGCTAAAAAGGAAGTTTGCAACAAATTTATAAGTCAATCTCGTGAATGTTCCAATTAAAGTTTAGAAAAAAGAGTTATTATTTTCCCATGGTTACATTATGTTACACTCAGAGCCATCTGGTGAGAATTTTGTGATAAGAACATCTTTCAAATTATGACTTTTCATGTTTTTAATGAAATTATATAATATTAATATATGACAGTATTGTTATAAACAACGATCAATCAACAACAGGGGCTCAATATTTTGATAAGTTAAAAATATTAGCAAAAAGAATTTCACTTGATACAATTTTTTAAAAAAAATAACTTGTTGAAAAAGTTGTTGCTGTTGTTGCTTATCCTTTTCTGGCCTGACGAAGTCAGACCAGATCTATGAACCCGTTGACCTGAAGAAAATCAAACACCAAAAGAGGAGTAAATGTCTTCCCAGAGAAGACAGTTTAGGATGAGATCGGCGGAAGCCCGGTGTAGAATGGCATTTAGGGCAGAGGTTTTAGTTCCCTCAGAAAATAGTAAACCTTTAAGAATGGCCGGTAGCTAGGCGGAAGATGGTGGTGCAGACTCTCCTTTCAAAGGGAAGGGTCAAAGAAGCTCCAGGCTTATTTCCCTTGTACCAATGGTGGGTGGGGGGAATCAACCAGTCTCTGAGAAGATGGGATTTCTTCATGTTGAAAAAGTAATACTTGTCTATTATTATTATAACACAAGTTTAATAATCAAAATTTAAAGCAACTGCATTAGAGTCCAATTTATTTTGAAAGAAGTGGAGAACTTAAAATTAATCTTTATTAAATCTAATTTCATTTTACTTCCGGGCTATTCTTTTCCATTGAGTTTCTTCGCCATCTTGAAATCACTGACAAAGGAAACTAGGGAAGTGTGACTCGCCAATTTTGAAATACACTAGTGGGATGTATGCCTTATGAGGAATAATTTTAGGGGGAAACATTCGTTTCGGCCCATAGAAGGTCCTGTGAGAGATAAAAAATAGTTCAATGTATAGAAAAATCGGTATTTCATTACTTCAATACAGACTATTAGTTATTGTAATTGTCTCATACTCCAATTAATTTTGTGGTACTTTCACGTACTATATAATGCATATTTATTGTCGAAATTGATTTCGAAAATTTTATATATCTGTAGTTTTTCAGAAAAACCTGTTAGGTTAATTTAAAAAAAAAAATTGACATCAAATTTTTTAAATTTTTTTTTCCAAAAAATTTTCCAAATTAATTGGAGTATGTAATTGCAAATCAATTAATTAATTAATAATTAATTAATAATTAATTAATAAAAAATTAATAATTAACTAACTACTAATTAATAATTAATTTTCTGATTAATTTATTAATTCGCAAATTAATAATTATCCAATTAATTACAAATTAATTGGAGTATGAGACAATTACAATAACTAATAGTCTGCATTGAAGTAATAAAATACCGATTTTTCTATATATTGAATTATTTTTTATCTCTCACAGGACCTTCTATGGGCCGAAACGAATGTTGCCCCCTAAAATTATTCCTCATAAGGCATACATCCCACTAGTTTATTTCAAAATTGGAGAGTCACACTTCCCTAGTTTCCCTTGTGAGAGCAAAAGAAACTGTACTACTATGACAAATAATCTTTCTTACCATTTTTTTTTTTAAAATGCCGAAGTGAGTGTGACGAAGTATGAGTATAAGAAGAACGAGTACGGAAAAAATACCGAAAAAGCTATTTAAATAGGCGTGTGAAAAGTAAATTTGTTGACTAAGTTTTACGTTTGATAATTGTAGTATTTCTTCCTGTGGATGGTGCTTTCTACACTAGGGTGCGCTGTAAGCTCTTGACTGCCTATACTTAAGGATTTCGATTTCCGCTGTATTTTGAAACCGTTTGGCTCACAATGTCATCATTGTGTTTTGAGATTCTCTTGAGTAGCATTTCTTGTATACGAGTATTTGTTACCTGATTTATTATTTGTGTTCAAAAAAAAAAGAAAAGAAAAAAGAATAGTTGTAAAAATAGTCATTTGAAAACCTGCCATTTCAAGACTTAAGAATCATCATTTGAAAAAACGAATCGTTATAAAACAGTTCTTACTTTGTCAACAATATACCAACTTGGAAATTTGTTGTTGTTGTTTCTAATGCTACTTTACATACTAGCAAGCCTGCTTGGTGACACCGAGCAAATTAACGGTAGAGTGTGAGTTTCTTGTTTTTCAGTGGCGCCATCTATGACCAAGAATTCAACTTCTGCCACACCACACGTCGCACCCGTTTATAGGGCGGATCCATTCATACACCCATTCATTCATTCCCAGATCGTAATTTTGACCTGAATCAGAGAACGATCCATCTCCAATCCAGTACCCCCAGAGGTATTGATTTGTTATGGGAACATGGAGAACTTTTGCGACTTGACAGATTTAACGCGCATCACTCACTTTATTATACACTCACTTTGCAGTACACTCACTTTACTATTACAGTCACTTTGTATTCGACCGGCGGGGTTCGAACCCACGAACTCTCGGACATGGGCCCAGCACCCTGCCGACCAGGCAATTCCGGCCCTACTTGGAAATTTAAACTTATATAATAATTTGCAAAATCAATTTAACCTCGCTGCACGAACAATTGGCTAACACTAACGTATAATGGTGCACGGTTTGCAATAAGAACAAAAAGTAATAAACAAATAAAAAGAGGTCAAATCAGACTGTCAAGAAAACGAGTTCTTTCTAAATCTAGCAAACACGTCATCTTTTTTAACAATACATCTATGAATAAGGAAAACAAATTTTAGCTAATAATTAAACAGAATTACTTGGTATCACTAATATCTTATGAAATACAGCAGAGTAGAGCTCAGAAATTATATAATTTATTTGAAAATATCGCTTTGCAGAATAGGCTGTAGTAAACAGCTGTATTCTTTCTAACCGGAAGTAGAGCAGGTCAAGAGTTCGAGATTGTTATTGTTTACATTTATACCATCCATTGTATTTTTCATTCTTTTTTTTTTTTTTAAGGAATCGAAAAAGACTAAAACCAAGTTTAGAATGAACCTTTTAACATCGATTGTAAGATCCATTAAGATATATAAAACTGCACCTTTTATATTCAAAAATGCTTCTTACTTTTGAACTGCCTCAGGGAAAAGGAAATTTATAAACGAATGAATAAATAAATAAGGAATAAATAATAAAAATAAGTGAATAAATAAATAAAATAAATAAATAAAATAAATAAATAAAATAAATAAATAAAATAAATAAATAAATAAATAAATAAATAAATAAATAAAATAAATAAATCAATAAATAAAAAAAAGAAAGAGATAATACCTCACAGGACTAAACAGAAATATCAGGCGCATAAAATAGTGGCATGAATAGTGCATGAAACTATCCATTCGATATTTAGTACACAGGAAATGATTTTTAAATTATTTTACATCGAAAACTGTTTTCTCCCTCTGTAAAGCTATTAAGAAGCTATTACCAAAGAAAGCTATTTGGGCCAATAATTTTTTTCTCCTCATTTTAACACGTTATAAGGAAATATTCATGTTCCGAAATAAAGAGAATGTGAGCCATGATGGCTCAGAGACTAGAGTGTTTGCTTTCCAATGATGTGAACCGGGTTCGAATCCCGGCGATGGCTGGTCGATAAGACTTCCACATCCTGCTTACACCGCCCACTGTGCTGACGTGAAATATCCTCATAGATTTGAGTCCCTTTGCCGTTAGGCTAACCGTGAGAGGTTTTCGGGGTCCTCCTCTCTATGTAGCGCAAATGCGGGTTAG